GCCACCCACAGAGCCAAGCTCCCATCCCCAGCCGGGTCCCCGAGGTCCCTCCTGTCCCCTGTCCTCCGTGTCCGCCACCCACAAACCCCACATCCCCGTCCCTTGTTTCCTTCTGCCCTTCGTGTCCCTCCATGGACCCGCCGTGTCCACCTTGTCACTCCACTTGCAGGCTGCCCACGTCCTTCACATCCCCCTGTCCATCATGGTCCTGTGGCCCTTGTTCCTTGTGTTCCCTGTGGCCTTTGCCACCCCTCATCCTTTGTGTCTGTCCTCCATCTCCCATGTCCTTTGTGTCCCCTCTCTCCCTGTATTTTTCATGTCCTGTGGGACCGTGGCACCCATGTCCCCGCCATGCCCATCCACCCCCCATTCTTTGTGTCTCCCTCTGTCCCCAGATCTTTCCTCCATGTCCCTATACACTGTGTTCCCTGTCCTTTGTATCCCCTTGTCCCCTGCCATGTCCTTTTGTGTTGCCAGAATCCTCATGCCCTTTATGTCCCCCAGATCTTATTTACTCTGTCCCCATGCCCCCCACGTCCCCATCCCTCCTTTGCTTTGCCCCACGTCCCGAGTCCCTCCTGTCCCCACCATGCCCCTACATTTTGTCTTTCATGTCCCCATACACCCTGTCCTTTGCCACCCATGTCCCTCCATCCTACAACAGCCCCCCCATGTCCCTCTGTCCCTTGCAATCCCCAATGTCCTCATGTCCTTTGTGCCCCCCCTGTGTCTGCTGTGACCCCCACCATGCCCCCATGTCCCCTGTGTCCCCATATCCCTCTGTCGCTTGTCACTCTCCATGTCCCCATGTCCTTTGTGTCCCCATATCTGTTGTCATCCCCGTGTCCCCATATCCTTTGTCCCCCAGCATGTCCCTCTGTCCCTCTCCCTGTCCCTATATCTTTTGTGTCTCCCTGTGTCCCTCTGTTGCCACCCCCACCATGTCCCCATGTCTTTTGCATCCCGCTCGTGTCCCTCACCATCCCCGCCGTGTCCCCACGCCCTTTGTCCCCACCCACCGTGTGCCTCTGTCCCTCACCATCCCTCATGTCCCTGTATCCTTTGTGTCTCCCCGTGTCCCTCGTCACCTCCCCATGTCCCCATATGCTTCATGTG